CGACTTGTAGATATTGTTTTATCGATACATGACTGGAATATTTCCTGGAGTAGGCTTTCGGGGTTTGTAGGTAATTTATTAATTAGGAATTTCGTAGTCAGCTTGGTCATGTTAAATTTGCGGGTGATCTTGGTTTCTTCACCCAAATGTTTTACATAATCACCAGCACCTTTTTGTAATAGATTATCAATGAAGAAATGTCGTGCTTTCTTCGAAGGTGGAGGAGACATTAATAATAAAATAAATTAAAAATTAGAGACTAATTCAAAAGTAGGTATCACGACTTTTGCGCCGAGAACATTTGCGCCGCGACTTATGCGCCGCGACTTTTGCGCCGGGCGACTTTTGCGCCGCGACTCTTGCGCCGCGACTTTTGCGCCGGGCGACTTATGCGCCGCGACATTTGCGCCGCCATTGTTTAGAAAATCCGGATCCGAAAAATGCCGGATATCCGAAATTTTCAGTTCGGATATCAGATCCGAAGATTTCCAACTATTCGACAACCCTACTAAAGTGAGGTCCGGCTGTAGTTATTGATATATTTTTAATGATAGTGGCGGCGCAAAAGTCGCCCGGCGCAAAAGTCGCGGCGCAAAAGTCCCCCGGCGCAAAAGTCGCTCGGCGCATAAGTCGCGGCGCAAAAGTCGCGGCGCATAAGTCGCGGCGCATTTGTTCTCGGCGCAAAAGTCACGGAACCCAAAAGTATTAAATTTCTTAAAATTTTCAAGAATGAAGAAAGAAATCGAAAATCCTTTACTTTTAAGGATCCATAAAATATTTGATGTGTTGTAAAATCACTGAAATTCCATTTCATTATTTTCCAGTCGGGGAGGAAGTTAAATTTGCATAGAGGAAATGCAAAAGAAGAGGATTTCGTAATACTTTTAAACTTTATTTCGGATCCTTTTATTTTCAGCTTTGAATCTCTTGGGAATTAAAGAGGGAATTTTTAGAAAAGGAAAGAGATATTTATGAAATTTGCATAAAAGAATTTTTATGCATCTATACCAATTTTTAAGTTCCTTCTTTACAATCCTATACTCTATTTGAAGTAAGGAAGGCTGTCACGAAGGGTAACTAAAAGAAAATTTGCATAAAGTAAGAATTTCAAGATTTAGAGGGAAATATTAGTAAATAAAAAGAAGGGAATTTAAAAATATATATTAAGATTAGGTTAATTGCTGAGACGACGAGTAATTGTTGAATTTGTTTTTTAAATTTATTTATTTTAATTTATTTACCATAATTTATTTTTATTTTCTATTAAAGTATTTTTTCTTTTATTTTGGGTTATTAATAGAGTGAGGGTAATTGTTTGATTATACATACTTTTTATTTCCATTTATTTTTTATTTCTATTACTTTTTAATTTTTCCTCTCATTTTCCTTTTTCTCATTTTTCCTTCCTATTACAGTATTTTTTAATTTACACCCGTTTTTTATTTTCGGGAGGCAAAAGCTTTAATTTTTACAAAGGGAAAATATTGCGTAATTTTTTCGGCCGAGGGAAAAAAGAGAGCGTGGAGCATTTGCATAATTTGGTGGATATCAAAATGTTTAGGTGGGCTAAACAAAAGAAAAGCCCTATTGGTTTTGGCTAGTGAGGTGGGTGGAGGAAGGAGAAAGAAGGAAAAGCTTCAAAAGCTTTTGGTTTGTGGGGTGAGTAAGGGAAGCAAAAAAAAGCTTCAATAGCTTTTGGTTAGTGGGTGGGTGGGTGGGGGAGGGAAGCTTCAATAGCTTTTGTTTTGGAGGGATAACAAAAGAGAGAGGAAAAGCCTCAAAGGCTTTTGGTTAGTAGGGTGGGTGGGGAAGGAAAAGGAAATACCCTCACACCTTTTGATTGATTAACTAGAGTGATTTTTGACAGGCGACTCGGAGGGGGGGTTAACTACTTAGGTAAATAATTTTCAAATTATTTGATCAAATATTTGATTTTGCCTTCCGGCCGATCTCTACTATTCACCGACATTCGCGCCCTTGAAGTTTCCCAGGAGTGTCCGGGCCAACCATACTAAAAATTTAAAAGACTACAGACAAAATTTTTTATAAAATGATTTTAAAAAATATTTTTATGAGTACAAAATTTGGTTATCAAATTGAATATCTTTAATAAAATTCGTAAAATTCTTCAGCAACCAAATGCTTTGAAAAATCATAGCTAAAAGGTTTAGCGTCCAAGTCCTGTCCAAAGTTAGTTTCAACAGAATATCCCGAAATTTGTACAAATGGCTGGTAATAGTCATTATTCCCTTCCAACACAATTGCCTTACCTGTTAAAAAATAAAATATTTATTCAAAAGAAAAAATTAAACATTCCGATAATACCAATTTGCTCGATAAATCCCCCCTTCAAATAAGGAAGGAGTATAGTGAAACCCTCTAGTGAAAGTTGAAAAAATATCCCTTTCCTACTGTAGTGCCTACCAGACGTTCAAATTTTTTTCTAATGCCTCAGCACACTTACAAATGTAAAAATTAGAATAATTGCCCTTCCTGATTACCTTCTCGTGCTAGCGAGATTGATATTCAATTTAGAATTAGTTACTTACCTACAATTGACACCTTTAACCAACATAGCTAAATGGTCCCCAAATTCCCATAGAACTTGTTGAACCCCAATAGATTACTTTACTCAATTCCTTACAAATTTGCTTTCCATTTTGAGTGTAGAAAACATATGGCATTTTATTCTCAACTCTTGAAGGAGGGTAAATAAGACAACAACCAACGACATCGTCATCACTCCAAGTGAAATTTTCAAGTGTAAAACTTTGAGGAATATTCTCTCCTTGCATTTGGTAGTGAATAATGCTACTAAGTGGCCACATTTTGATTGTATCGCTGTTATTGACAAGACCAAATGCCAAAGATTTCTGATCCGAAGTAATTCCTTCTTCCAATTTAAGTTTGAGTTCAAAGTAAAATAACGAGAATATATTACAATTGACAGGCTTTTTAAATTGATTTGCAGCCGTTATCAATGGAAATTTGTTAACTAAAATGTTTTTAAGAATTACACATGATTGAAGTTTGAAGGCAAAAAAAGCCTTCAAGTATGGCGTTTTGGATCTATCAGATCTCCTCGTGTTTACCACTAGATCTCTATAAGATATTCATAAACGCTATTGGATATTACATCAACAAAATCTTAAATAAACTACCCTTGATCGGTCGTTTTTATTTGAAAAAAACCACCTTTTACTTAAAATACTTATCCAGATTCGTTTTAAGTGTTGGCTTGATCTCTCGATTAGATTCTGATCAAAAATGTAGGGGTTGTAAAACTGTAAACAACCTAGTTAAGACTACTTACAGTCTATGCCGAAATAATTACTCGGCTTATTATTGTTTAACCTATTACTAGAAGGGATAAGGGGTAATTATTGAGAGTAATGGATTATAAGAAAGGCTACTTATTCAAACATAAAAGGTAATATAATTATCAAAATTCACAAAAATCCTACCCTTTCCTTCTTCACATTTAATATATCTAATAGTCCCATCAGTAGTCAATTGAATAAATCCATTTCTAGACTTACAAGTACCATAAGGAGACTCGGTATTAACACATTTAGTCCCACAGCATGGATTTTTAGTAGTAACTTTCCACTCGTTATCAATATTTACAAAAGACTAAAAATATTTTTTTCAAATTTTAAATGAATTAACTAACCCCTTTCTTAAATGTTGAACTATTTAAAAATTTTAATTCAACTTTAATAGAGTCAACCAAATTTTTAGTTGCAGCATTCGAATCATCAACCTTTGATAAATTTAATTTAGATAATTTATTTTAGTATAAATTATTAAAGTGATTAAATTGCAAAGGAGTGATACACACACACCCGTCTAAAAATCAGAGTTGATCACTCACGATATAGGCATGAATGACTTACGGGAAGGAAGCAAGTTATCTTTTTTAGAAAAAAAGGATTGGTCAAAATTAAATTTCACCAAATCTAAGACTTATTTACATGTTCTATTTAAAGTAAGCTTCAACAGATTTAATTTTTCAATCATACGAAGAAGGAAGAATTAAACTAAGTTAGAAAAACGTTAAAATACACAAACTGATCAAAGCCTATATACTTAATGTTCCTGTTAAATAATTATCAGGGTGATCTCTTTCCCAGTATTTCGCTTTTACGGAATTTCGTGATTACTCAAAGATTTAGATTAGATAGTTACAAATTTTTTTTCGATCCTCTACTGCTTCAATTAATACCTTTTTTATTTTTTCAACTTGATCATCATGTTTTTTGAAGAATTCAGTTCTAAGGTCACCGACCTTCTTATTAAAATCTTTCTGAATATTTAAAAGTTTTGAATGTTCAAGTTTCTTTTCCTCCTAAAATAAAATTATTCAAAAATATTATTTAAATAATTAAATCACTTTTTCTTTAGCTTTCTCATCAATCAAATTTTGAAGAGTTTTTCCAAATTCCTCAATTTTATTTAATTGATCTGATCCATTTATATCAAACTGTAAAATTATCTTAATAAAATATTTGAAGCCAAACTTTGATTTTATGTAATCCCAAACTTAAAGATATCTCAAGTTTGGATACTGTAAATGCTCAAATAATTACCCCCCCCTCGAATAACATCACTCTAAGAGGGATTCTCAGTATTATATGGAAAAGTACGAACTTTCGATAACTACTCACTAAATTAGCATTTATTTTCTCAACAGTAATTTTGAAATATTTAAATAATCACAATTAAAATTAATATAGTATTTTAAGAATCAATAGCAAAAAATAAATTAACTCTATTTAAATTTATTGAGATTTTCTACGAATACTATTCACTCCCGGGCCCGTACAATAAATTCAAGGAGTAACTAACCCTAAAATGTATTTATGGCTCGATTAATTATCATTTCCTATTATTCGTAAATAAGGTACAATTTTTCCAATTTGATGCCAATGGGGGGGGGGGTAGGAGTTAATAATACCACAAAATTAAGTCAAGGTTTGAATATATTTAATTTTCAATATTCATTTTAATACCTTCGCAATCTTGTCTTCCAAATTATTACATTTATTATCAGTCTTACGCATAGCTTGATCAAGGCCTTGAATTTTTTGTCCAAAATCTTGGTCAACTTCATTAAGCTTCATTCCAATCGACTGAATAATTCCATTGGTCTAAAATAATTAGAAAAATTTACAAAATAGTAGGGAGAATAACTTTGAGGACAACCATATCTAATAATTGTGCATAAGTGTCCAAGATATGCACGAAAATCGCAACCTATGCAATATTTATGCACAGAAAATGCCAAAAATATCATTGAAATGCGCATATAATACAGTCCTCCACATAACTATACAGCCACCTTATTTCGAGTGGCTGTATATATATCGAGTGGCTGTAGAGTTATGTGGAGCACTTTATGTACTAGATATCTAAATATGCATGTGAGGGCCGAAATACGGAGGTATATGCATTAAAAACCAGGTCCTAAAAAGCTAGGACAAACTTAATAAAACGTTTTTTGTGCTTTTAATTGAAGGCATATCCACAAACACAGCATAATTTGGACTACCTCAATAATGATAAACTACCTTCATATTAGCTTGATTAATATTTTGTTTTAACGTTAACATTTCTTCATAATTTTTTTCAATATTTTCTTGCAAAGCATTAATAAGTTCATCCTTTTGTTGAATGATTTGTTTTAATGAAGCAATTTCTTGAGAATTTTCAATTTTTAGTTGTTGAATTTTTGTCTCCAAAGAACGATTAATATCAGTAAACTAAACCATAAAAATGAAAAATAGATGTATAATTAAATTACAGACTTTTTCCTCAATTATTTTAAGAAGAATTTGTCGTATTATTCGAAGTTCTTCTGGATCTCGTTGCTTCTAAATTTTATGTAAGAATATTTTTAGAAATTTTATTTTAAAAATTAAATATGAAGTAGTATCTCATAAAAATTATCTAATGATTCTTAACCACCTTCGCTACGTACATTATAAAATGGAAGACACCCTAGGCACTCTTGCCATTTTATCTGTATCATGTCCGATAGTTACTACATAATTCATAGAGGTATGTAACAGTTGAGAAAAAAGTTGTAATTGGCTTTCGAAATTATAGTCGGGTCTGGTTCTAGGTCTAAAAGTGTCCGGACTTCGATTACAGGTTACCCGTGACATCTCTGATTCAGTTAGACTTTATTCTCCAAGTCTTTTCAGAACTTTGGTCTAGGGAGTAATCATGGTATCGTAGTGGAAAAATTAAATAAATGAAGAGTAGTTTAATAATATCACGAATCAAAAAATATTACTGAATCAACACTTTACGATTTCTTGAAAACCACTGCTATATATCCCTCTCCCCCAGAAAATCTTTCTCTGATAAACTTACATTCTTCACTTCCTTTTCAATCAACAATGTCTTTTCTTCGAGCTGAATCATTTTAAGTTCAAGTTCATCCTTATTATCCTTCTTTCCCATATTCTTTTCAAGTCCTAATAATCTGCTTTGAACTCCCAAAACATTGCTCCCTTGTTTAAGTACCAATTCTTTTAAATCCTTCACTTCCTTTGATTCTTTCGCCTCCATTAATTCCATTATTTCCTTGAGTTTAAAATAAATTTAATTTGTCTAAATTCAATTACCTTCAAATTCATTTTTTCCGACAAATCCGTCTTTTGTAGACAAATTATAACTAAATTAATAAATTAGGGTAGACTGAGACCAAAAGCTTATACTTCAGTGAGGATATCGAGCTCAGGACTGGACGTAACTTTGAATTGCACATTGCGTGAACTTGCCCTGATCGTGATTAAATCTGAGAAATGTCTAGAGACCGGCGCGAGATCCAGTAAGCACGATTTCGCAAGTCTATAACCAAAACTTTCACATTTACGTGCATTTTACATTAATTTCTATAAATTTTTATACTGAAATATTCCCAGTTTTTGTCGTACTAAAAATCTCATTTCGGTCTCAAACTACCTACTTTACTATACTTGCAAATTTGTTCCAAGAACTTGAATTTTATTAAGAAAAAATAATAACAAATAGTAAATGAGCTTGGTTCTAATAAAATTGAGCTTGGTTCTAAAATAAATATTTTATTACATAGCATAAATGCCTTAATATAAATCAGGCTCTTTAGAAGCCCATATCTAACGCAAGGAGACCCATTGAAAAAAAAAAGAAATCTTCTAATAAGAGCCTAGAAAGACATTGAAAAATATAAGCTTATGTTTATAGATTAGAGCATTTATTGTGAATATAAATTTTTTTAATTAAAAAAATAATTTTTAGAAAATTTTATTGAAAAATCAGCAAAAAGTAGCAAATGAATGCAGCAATGCTCATACTACCACACAAATACATCTTCAACCTCTCTCCCTTCCCATGAAAAAGTAGGGCAAAATTACGCCTTTATTCTTCCAATTTGGGCAAACAGACATTGCCTCAAAAGAATTTAGTAAAGTTAAGGTCACAGCGTCTATTTTTAAATATTATTATCAAATTCAAAACATTAAATTTGCCTTCTTTGAGGTGCATCGAAATTATAGCAAGTACGTTAGCTCGCTAACTTGTTCAAATTATCGAATTCAAGGCACCCTGGTGTGTTTCGATTCAGTTATTTGAGGTACAGTTTGAACAAAAATTATAGTAAGTACGTTGGGCTCACTGTAAGTTGGCCTGCTCTCATTGATTCAACGGGGGATATTGTCCCAAGAACGGGAGATAAATTAAATTTATTAACAAAATCAACTTTATTCAAAAACGTTCGTTTCAATTAAAAACAATAAATTAATTGATTTTAGGAAAAATATCATTTAAACTTTCAGAAACAATTTCTTTAATTCCTCCAGATGACAACAATATTTGTTTAATTCCTTCTTTAGTAATTAGCGGAAACATTTCAATTAATTCATTTAAATCTTTTTCTTAAATTTTGAAAATTAATTTTTCTTTTGAATAAAAATTTTATTTAAATTTTTAAGTTTGGAATATGAAAGGTGACCATGAATGTCAATTGCAATCAGGGTTGCCGTTACCGAATCATTTTTTTGGGCCTCATTTTTATCGGAGGGCCTCATTTTTACGGAGTTTATTCGGGCCAAAAATTGAAGTCCGATTCGATCTTTCGAACTGGCCCCCAAATCCTAATCAAGCGTTATTCGAATTTTAGGTTAAAAAGTTTGATTTGCAGGGTGGAAAGGTTGATTTCTTACTTTTTTAGCGCTGCAGGCGAAAATTTTGAGAATTTTGGAGGAAAAGAAGCCAAATTCTGCTATTTTTGTATATTACATATTATCTAGTCCATCTCAAATCGGGCCTTCTTTTTAAAGAACCGTGCCAATCGGTTCGTTTTCGGCCAAAAATCGAAGCCCGATTTCGAACCGAACCGGGACGGCAACCCTAGTTGCAATAGATGCCGAAAACTATTTAATCTGTTCCAGGGCCTTAATCTGATGTGTAGTATTTGGAACATAATCATAATGAACTTTTTTATAATTATTTTAAATAATTTACCAAAATCAGAATATTTATAAACTTTATGTTTTGAAAAATCATAAACAAAAGGCATTGCTTTCAAATCCTTCCCAAAATTTGTTTCTACTGAACAGGACTCTAGCCGAATATATGGTTTATAACCAACACAATTTTCATTCAATAATATTGGGTAGCCTTTAAAATTTAAATTAAAAAAAATTTATTTAAATTTTGGTACTTTTCCGCATATTCACTCAAATTCTTTTTTAATTTTTTTCACTCATTTTTTACTTTAAGAAATAGTTAATTCTTGTGTTCGTACGCCCACCATTTTTCCTTCCTCAAAGTATGGTCAGTCAATCTTATGTTTTAGAATTCGTCGAGCTGTGTCGAATGACACTAAGATCAACCCCTGGTTTTAACTTAGGGCCGAGATACAGACCCCCGAAAATTGATAAATAAAAGGGAGGACCAATCTCATTTTTTGGTCTAAAAATTCGATTAAACAAATAATAGTGTATTCGAAAGAGCTTGTCGAGCTGATACGAATGACATCAAAATTAACATAATTGTAAATGATTTGACAAAGTTATGACTAGGGTGTACATTTATATGGAAATCCATATTTTTTTCCTGAATTCCTATGACTGTGAAATGCACGAAAAACATGTTTTTGGCTTGTTTTAGGGTTTCTGGGATGGTCTGTAAATCCATATTTTCCATATTTTTCCATATTTAGCCTTTATATCCATATTTTATATCAATATTTCTCTTTTGTTGAATATTTTGATCCATATTTGGACATTTTTTGGTAAATTTTAGTAAAAATTGGGAAAATTTTTAAAATTTTGGAAATTTTTAGTCAAAAAATTTTTTCAAAAATTTTTTGGAAAAATTTATTTTCAAAAAAAATTTAACAAAAAATTTAAATCCATAAAATCTTCTAGAACGATCTTAAAATGCAGAGTTAAAAGCAAAATTGTTGTTTTCTACACAAAATACTGATTTCTAAAATATTTTTTCATCATATTTTGATCCATATTTCGTATTTTATATCCATATTTAGTATTTATTTCCATATTTATATCCATATTTTAGAATTTTATATCTATATTTTATGTCCATATTTTTCAATTTTATATCCATATAAATGTACACCCTAGTTATGACATAAAGTAATCTCACTAGTCGGTGAGACGCTTTTGCAAAACGATCGCTTTGCGCAGGTTTTTTGCCTGTACCTCGGCTCAAAGTTATGGACAGGGGTTGATTTGGTGTCATTCGACACAGCTCGACGAGTTACGTGTTCAATAACTTAGACTGACCGACTATTTCTTAATACTTTGAGAAAGGAAAAATGTTGGGGGTACGAATTATTTTAACTTTAAGAAATTTCGAGAAAACGGTAAGGAACGTTCCCAGACTCAGTCACCCTCTATAAAGGAAAAGTACAGGATATTTTAATACCAATTTGTTCTCCATTATGAGTAAAGAAAATATAAGAAAAGTCATTAGCAGTAGATGGTGGATAAACTAATCCACATCCAAAAATATCATTGTTATTCCAAAGAATATTTTTAAGTCTGAGGCAACATTCTTGATTTTGAATATCAAACCAGATATATTTACTACCATGTATATCGAAATCTAATCTGGCATAACTATTCTTTGAATTTTCAAGGCCGATATTAATTTTTCTATAATTAATATGCTCTTCCTTAATTTTGCTAATATATTTAACTTCATAATAAAACAAAGAATAATTAGAACTGTCCTTTGGTTTGTTAAATGAGTTTTCAGCATAAATTGTCGTTGATTTATCATGTCCTGTAATAAATTTTAAAAATTTAATATTTAAGGATATTTATGTATTTGTTAAAGAATAAGTTTAAGATAACCATAACAATTATCATCTCTCTTAGCATCAATATATTCAATGTTTTCATCATCAATCAAATTAGCAAAACCATTTTTCTTAACACAATTACCAACAGGGTTTTTTGTATTTATACATTTAGCTTCACAACAATCCTCCACAAACCAAGGAGCTTCATTACTCTTTTCTTTAATTTCCTTCCATTTATTTGGAGCTTGAACAAAGCACAATTCGTTATCCAAATTATTTATTTGTTCCAACTCTTCAGTTTTTTCACCAAAATTTTTGCCAGTTGATCCTTCCATCTTTTTTATAAATTTAAATATTAGAATATCTTTTCTAGAACTCATATCAAAGTGATAAAAAATGATTTTTCAACACCCAGTTGATCTATTTCAATGTTGATCACTCTCCCGGCTGACCACTCTCTCGGTTGATCACTCTCAATCACTCTTCCGGAAAATTGTTTAACAGTGAGTGGGATCAACATTGAAATTGTTCAACTGGGAGTTGAAACACATTTAATCATTCTGATACCAGTTTTAAAAATTCGTTTTTTCCGTTTGGTGACAAAATTCCAAAAAATTGGCGACCAAAGTTTCGAAAAATCTTGATGACCAAAATTCGATACCCTCCCAAAACACTCGATATCCTCTTAATCCCTAGATGAGAGTCTTAACGAAATATTTGACGGGTGGACTTTTTTTATCATATATGTATTTTTGTTATTCAAATTTACTTTTTTACAAAGAATTTTAATTAATTACCTGTTTAACCGTATTTTCCAAAGAAATTATTTTCTGATCTTTCTGCTCAATAATTTCTTTCAAAACAGAATTTTGTTTGGAATTTTCAATTTTTATTTCATCAATCATTTGTTGAAAAGTTTGTTTTAATTCTTCAACATTTATTTGATTTTCCATCTTTAATTATATTTAAAAAATTAAAATTTCATAATAATTTTAAACACCTTTTTAAAAACATTTTTATCCTCCATTTCATTCTCTTGATTTAAATTGCTTTTTGGTTGCTAAAAATTTTAAAAAATTTTATATTTTTAAATTTAATTTTTATTTCACAATTAATTCATAATCAGAATCGGAAGATGTGTCTTTTTTCATTTTACTAATTAAGCAAAGTTAGATTTTAAGAATGTAAAAAATAATATCAGTTATCTGATTATAAAAACTTTAATTTCCTAAAATATTTTATGAAAATTACTAAATTTTTATTAAATAAATTATTTAGATAGGTAAACTAAAGCTTTATTAAGATGAAAAAACTATAAATAAGGTGCGTTTAAACATTTTTTGGTAAATAATCACGCCTAGTTTACAGTAGAAATATTAAAATATATTTTTTAATTTTTTATATTTTCCCAGACAGAAAATAAATAGTAAGACAATTTAGGGAAAAATTAAAAAAAAACAAAGACAGGACCCAGGCAACGCACTGAAATATTCTAAAAAGCACTTCTTGCCATTATTTAGAAAAAATTGCTTTAAGTCACTAGCCATAATCAAAGGCGATAACCCGACAGACTTGCATTCACGAAATGCGCGGGATTTTACTTAAGGAAAGAAGAAAATTTATTTTTTATGGAAAAGCAATTTTACAATGAAATATTTAAAGGCAATAAAAATTTTTAAGTGTCCTGTCTGGGTGCCTGGTTTAATTTTTTCTCTTATAAAAAATTCTGGTGCGCAAAGCAAACACTTATTTGTCTGGGAAATGTAAAAAATTTGAAAAATATATTTTAATATTTCTACTGTAAACTAGGCGTGTATATTTACAAAAAATGTTTAAAAGGAAACTTATGAATAATTTTTGTTCATTTTAATAAAGCTTCTTTAGTTTACTTATCTAAATAATCTATCCAATAAAAATTTAGTAATTTTCATAAAATATTTTAGGAAATTATTCAAGTTTAATTTCTGATATAAAAATTTTTCAGATTTTTTAAAATAAGAAATAAGACTATTTATTTAAATAATGAAAGAAGACACATCTTCCGATTCTGATTTTGAATTAATAGTGAAATAAAAATTAAATTTATAAATAAAATATTTTTAAAAATTTTCAGCAACCTAAAGGTGATTTAAAACAAGAGAATGAAACGGGGGATAAAAATGTTTTACTAAAGGTGTTTAAAAATAATTTAAAATTTTAATTTTTGATAAAATTCAAGCCAAAAAATCAAATAAATGTTGAAGAATTAAAACAAACTTTTCAACAAATGGTTGATGAAATTAAAATTGAAAATTCCAAACAAAATTCTGTTTTAAAAGAAATTATTGAGCAGAAAAATGAAAAAATAATTTGTTTAGAAAATAAAGTTAAACAGGTAATTTAAAAAATTCTTTGTAGAAAAGTAGATTTAATTACAAAAATAAATTATGTAGATAGTAAGAGAAACCCACCAAAGTATATTGTTTGTACTTTACATCTTTTATCTAGTAGGTATTTAGCGGATATCGAATTATTTGGGGAAACTATTATAGAACATTGATTATTTGGTGCATGCGTCTCCTAAACTTTTATGCGTCCCATCGAGATTAAGCGCCCATCAGTAGTTCCTTTAAGAATAGTGCTTTTGTTCGGACTCGATATCGGGTAATCTTCTAGTTTTACTGGACCCTAGAAAACAAGAAGTGCTCTTGTACCTTTATATGAGTACCTTGTACCGGATTGATACTGTAGCATTAATATTTAAATTTATAAAAAAGATGGAAGGATCAACTGACAAAAAAGTTGGTGAAAAAACTGAAGAGCTGGAACAAATTAGTAATTTGAATAAACAATCGTGTTTTGTTCAACTTGCAAATAAATGGAAGGAAATTAAAGTAAAGAGTAATGAAGCTCCTTGGTTTGTGGAGGATTGTTGTGATGCCAAATGTATAAATACAGAAAATCCTGTTGGTAATTGTGTTAAGGGAAACGGATTTGTTAATTTGATTGATGATCAAAATATTCAATATATTGATTCTAAGAGGGATGATAATTGTTATGGTTATTCTTGAAATTATTCCTTAAAAATATTAAATTTTTAAATTTTGATAAAGGCCATGATAAGTCAGCTACAATTTATGCTGAACATTCATTTAATAAACCAAAGGACAGTTCCAACTCTTCATTATTTTATTTTGAAGTTAAATATATAAGTAAAAGTAATGAAGAGCGAATTAATCATAGAAACATTCATCTCGGCCTTGAAAATTCAAGCAAAAGCTATGCTAGCCTGAATTTCGGTGTATACGGTGGCAAAAAAATTCATTTTAAAGTTCAAAATAAAAAAGGAGGCCAAACTGGCCACCTTTATCTTAAACATATTCTTTGGAATAACAATGATATTATTGGGTGTGGATTAGTTTATCCGCCAACTGCTACTGACAACTTTTCTTACATTTTCTTTACGCATAATGGAAAACAAATCGGTAATTAAAAATTTTGATAATTATCGCAAATTACATATTTTAAATTTACAAAACATGAGGAGACGAAAACATGGAATATTTTTAAAATCGAAAATAAATTTAAAAAAATTAAAAAGAACCGTTCCTGTTTTGCATGTTCCTTATTTTTGAATTCTGTTTGCCCCATACTCAAAATAGGATACTCAAAACATATATAAGATCAGAAAACAATTTAACCAATTTGCGACATTTATAAAAATAATATGTGAAGGAAATAAAAAAATAATTTGCGTGAATATTAAAAAAAGTCCAAAAAATCTAAATTTTTTAAATAAATTTTTTAAAGGCAGCCCAATATTGTTGAATGAAAATTGTGATGGTTATAAACCATTTATTCAGCTACAGTCTTGTTCTGTAGAAACGAATTTTGGAAAAGATTTGAAAGCTAATCCTTTTGCTTATGACTTAACAAACCATAAATTTCATAAATATTCTGATTTTGGTAAATTTTAAAATTATAAACAATTGATTTTTATTTTAATTTTTAAGAAAAAGATTTAAATGAATTAATTGAAATGTTTCCTTTAATTGCTAAAGAAGGAATTAAACAAATATTGCTGGCATCTGGAGGAATTAAAGAAAATGTTGAGAAAAAATTGCTTAATATTTTTTCTAAAAATGATTAATTAATTGTTTTGATTTAAAATGAAGTTTTGTTGGATAAAGTTAATTTTGTTAAAGATTTAATTTATTTATTCATAAGAGGAGAGATTAACTGACATTTATCCACGTTTAAATGTCAACAGTTTCTACAATATTTTCCAGGCCGTCGATGAAATGGAGGGTAACTGCGTTGTTTTGATATAGAAATAATACTTTTATTTTTCTAATATTTAGTCTTACAATTAGTTATTTTCTTACTGACATGTATTAACAATAAAATAAAAATTGCGAAAAATAATATTGAAATTTGCATTTTCTACAATTTAAAATTTAAAAATATACCGTATGTTCTCTAATTGAGCGGCAGGCCGCTCTATTTTTCAATCCCATCTCAAAGGGCCGCTTTATTTTCGATACACAAAATATTCGGCAGAAGAAAATTTCTTCATTAAATAATATCAAAATTCAAAGGAATCATCTCTTAAAATCCCATTCTCTTCATCTTTAATCGAATCAATCTCTTCCATCAAATCAATCAACTTTAAAAAATTATTCTCATTTCTTTTTACTTAGACTACCCAATAGAGATCGAGATTTTTGAAAAGCCTGGACCAGTTCCTGGACTCTGGAGTTTTATTTATTCACCTAGACTAGATCCTGGGCCTTTAGTTCAGGAAACAGGAAAACACCAAACAGGAAACACTTAATAACACTACAGGTTATTAACCGATATCACGGATTAATCTTGTACAGGGTTCCGTTCATATGGGGACCCTTACGGGCCGAATCTAATTATTTACTTCGACTATATATTTTTTAGAGATCGGAATTTTGAAAAAACCGGGACCGGGAAACGGGAAACGGGTTCTGAAGGTCGACCGGGAGGGACCCGGACCGGGAAAACCGGGAATTCCCGTTCCCGGTTTCATCCCGGTCAAAAATGACCGGGATCCGGACCGGGAAACCGGGAAATTAAAAAAAATTTTAAATTAATTTAAAAATTTTAAAAAGTTATGGGAGTAGTTATTTATTGAAAAATCTGATTTATAAATAGAAGAATTTAATAAATCAGTAAAATAAATCAATAAAACAAATGTAAATCACAATAAATTAAAACATAAAGCGGATTACGTAGGGCTAAGGTGATTTGAGAGGCTAGAGAAGGATTGTGGGATATAGGAGATTTTGGTGTTTAGAATCTCCCGATAGCCTCCTCAAATTTTTTTATATCGCCTATATGTATTCCTCATCTAATTCATTTTAATCCCTCCTAATCCACCTTGATGCTGATTTAATTTTTATTTAATTTAATTTTTATTTAATCCCTCCAAATCCACTCTGATCTTCTCTGTGAAATAGTGATATCAGGGATTAAAAGAGATATCGAGAGATTCAAGTATTTGTTGGGTAGCATTAAGAGAGATTGTGGAGAAAGACCTATATCACCTGATTCTATTCAAATCCCTTCAATTGGAAGGCAATGATATCAGATGATAAGGCAGATCTAATGGATTTAGAGGGATAAAGATGGATTAATCACCAGGTCCCTTATAAAATCGCACTATACACTAACGTCCCTCAACTTTTCCTCCAATAATACCTCCAAATTTTTCCGTTCCAAATTCTTCCGCGGGAATTTCAAGAATTTTGGAAGGCCAAACAGCCAAATTTCTTCCGTTTCAGCGCCGCAGGCGAAAATTTTGGGAATTTTTGTAAAATCTCCAATATTTTTAGGTCAAAAATCAAAACGCCAAGCAAAAATTTTTAAAATTAGCTGCTAGAATTTTTCCCGGTTTCCCGGTTCAAAAAAAGCCGGGATCGGGAACGGGAAACGGGAAATAAAAATTAACCGGCCGGGACCCGGACCGGGAAAACCGGGAATTCCCGATCCCGGTTTCATCCCGGCATCTTTAAAAAAGCCGGGAAAAAGGACCGGGAAACCGGGAAACGGGACCGGGTCCCGATCCCGTTCCGATCTCTAATATTTTTATTACATTAGAGTATCCTCAAATGTCGGCTCCTAAAAGTCGGATCCTTAAACATCTGATCCTCATGTCGGGTTCTCAAAAGTCGAATCCTCAAATGTCGGATAACCGGAAATACCTAGTCTTTAAACTTTTTTTTTTTAAATATTTTTAAGTTGGTGAATTTTAAAAGTTTTGTAATTGCCTAATAGTAAAGTGCAAAATTTTAATTAATTAAATGATTAGAAATCATAAAGCAAGTCATAAGAAATTGAATAATTGAGATTTATTTCTCTTTAATTTACGTCAACAATAAAATATCGCATTTTCTTTTAATGCTATCGCGCCAAGTCAATCTCGTGTTTAGAATAATGCATGTGAAATTTTTTATTATTTTATACATAAATTAAAAATCGTATAAATAGTCATAAAGAGTCGCATATAAAATCGTATTAAAAAGATCGTAATACGTAAAAAATTTTGCATATAAGTGATGATTTTATTATTAAATAATATAGTAATTACCAGACCTGTCGGGAGTCGCGAATTTACAATAAAAAATTTTAAAAAATTTTGGCGGTGTCGGCACTTTTTTCTTTTCGTTTATTTCCGCCGCAGCGAAAATTTTAAGAATTTTGGATTTCAAAAACAAGCGTAGACTTGCCTGAGCTGCAGGTTAAAATTTTTTTAAGTTTGGCTAAGAACCAGACTCCCTTCATTTACCACCGGAGGCAAAAATTTTGAAAATTGAAAAGCCTAGGAGCTAGATTTCATCTTTTTCTGAGCTGCATTCGGAAATTTTTTTAATTTGGATGACCAAGAAATAAACTTTTTTCTCCATCAGCGGCGCAGGAAAAATTTTAAGTTTGAAGTAGGGTAGCTCATTGAGCCTTCGGGGTCGGAAGTGTCGGGGATCGTGGTTGGGGTTGACTTTTGGGTCGGGGTCAGATGTCTGGATTACACTAAAATTCTTAAAATAAAAAAGCTATAATTTTTTGATTTTTAGTTGCAGTATGCACTCAAAATTCTTCATTTTAGCGTTCAAGACGAAAAATTTGCATTTATAAGTAAAAAATATTCCAAAGCAAGGAAAATTCGCTTTTAGCGCCCAGGCGAAAATTTTGAGAATTTTGGAAGTCCGGATTTCTTCCTTTTTTAGCGCCGGAGGCAAAAATTTTGTGGATTTTCGAAAACTATTAAAAATTCGCTGATTTGATCATCTTTCTCCTCATTTATTTAAAAAATTTATTACAACTTTTTCACATTTGCTTACCTCTAAGAAGGGTTGCGTCGTAATTACGAATTACGAAAATAAAAAATAAAAATTAAGAAAAAATATTATTACAAGAAAATTGTCATTAAATTTTTGAAGGAAAAGTTAAAGGAATATTTATATTTTCTTCCAGATTATCTTTTGATTATCGGTGATTGAGTGGTTTAGAAATTTTTGCCTGCGGCGCAGAAAAATGATTTTAGTTTAAGAGGGATATCATGATATTGATTGAAGAGATATCGGAGGATTAAGTGGATTAAGAGAGATATCAGGGAATTAATTGAGATTTGAAGTAATATTAGAGAAATAGGAGGACTTGGAGGGATTAAAGCTAGCAGCATCAATTATTAATAAATATTTGATTTTAAAATTAAATTAAATATTTTTTAAAATTACAAATTACGATTGCAAATTACGGCATTTTTTCAGTTACGAATTACGATTACGAAATATTTTTTAAAATTACGATTCCGAAATTTTTTTTTAAATTACGAATTACGAATACAAAAAAATTTTCGATTACGACGCAACAAATTTTCGATTACGACGCAACTAATTTTTCGTTTGTCTAAGGACAAACGAAAAATTATTACATATATATATTTTGGCTTTTCTAATAATTTTGGGAAAAATATTCTTTCAAAATGTATTTTGGTCATTCAAATTTCCGAAAAATTCCCAAAAATTCCCATCTTTAGGGACGTATCTTTTACCGCGACCCCGACTCAGAGTTTGCGTCGGGAATCGGGGTTTGTCAAGGTAGAGCCTTCAGGGTTCGGGTACGGATTTTTGCCAAAAAATGTCTGGGTCGTGGGTCGGAGTAAGGGGGACGGGGAGCTACGTAGTCTGGATTCGAAATCATTCCCACAAAATATAAATGTGAGTGAAATCAATCAGCCTAACATCTCAAACTCATTCAACATTATGTTTTCCCTTTACCTTTTTTTTGTTATTTTCCCTTTTTTATTTTTTTCTTTCAAAAATAAAATTTTATCAAAAAATATCGGTAATTCCAAGGCTGGCCCCCCCCTTTTTTTCCTTTCTATTTTTTTCGATTTTTTAAACTTTTTATGGCAATTTACATATCATTCGAAAGAGCTCTTCGAGCTGAGTCGAACGGTACTAGATTCATCGAAATCCGACTTAAATAAACATAGCTATGAGCATTTGTTTTAATCCCTTTCAGCATCACAAAAAGCACGTCCTTCGAGGATTTAGCTTCATAAATCTGTTCAGATTCGCCAAATCTAACCGATCATAGTATCATTCTACTCAGCTCGAACAGCTCTTTCGAACGATGTATTGAAAATTATATGCCAAGCAAAAAAGCTCAAAATGGTCAGGGGAACAGAAAAAAAGGGGGGGACCAGCCTTGGAATTACCAAAATATCATTCTTAGTGGTGCAAAAATTTTCCAATTTATAAGTAGTTGGTAATTGACATCGGGAGTCGGGATTGTGAGACTCGAGAAATTTTCCCGAGTCGGGAGTCGGGATATCCTGCATCGCTTCCACTCAACCACTCGTCCTTGGAGGTGCATCAGCCCTCTCAACTTAAGATGACGGTTCGCTTATTCAATTCTTAAAAGAAAATTTTAAACTTTATTTAGAAAATGAAAATTTTTATTATATTATTATTTTTTGCAATTCTAATTTTTCTGATTATTCCTGTTTGTAAAGGAATAAATAAATGCAATCCTAAGGATTCGAGAAATACTAAAAATATCATTTCTCCATCAAAACAACGCCGTTTCAAAAGAGGGGGATGTTTTAGTAGCCAACAACAA